TAGATAGATAGATAGATAGATAGATAGATAGATAGATAGATAGATAGATAGATAGATAGATATACACTCCCCCACATTCTGACATATATATATATATATATAAGGCTGCTGCCGTTTCATTCCTCTGATTATACTTCCACGTGTCATCGTGAATGACCAAGCAAGATAATTCAACAGGTGCAGCACTTCCCACATTCTGACCTTGGCGCGCCAGAGACATTGCCCGCTTCCACAGAGAAGGGAAGGGAGGGGGGCGTCGCCTGCGGGGAGAGATCCTGCGGGGATCGCTTCTCTCCAGCCCGCTGACTCAGCCGCTGCTTCGTCCCTCCGCAAACCTAAGAACTTCGCCCGAAGAAGGGTAGACGTCTTCCTCCTTTGGACTGAACAAAGCTCCCCCCACCCACCCCCAAATCTCTCTCTCTCTCTCTTTAAGCTGGGTTTCGCTTTGGTTTTAATTCTCGTCTCTCCAGGTTCGGGTTCTTTTAACGACTCATTGCATTGCTGCTATTGCTGCTTATGACGATCGCCGTACTCTAACTGCATGCTGGCGGGACGTTCGGGGTGGGGGGGATGAATGAATGAATGAATGAACTGGGAGGCGGCGGCGGCAGTAGCAACGCTGGGCTGATCTCTTTCCAGCCGCACCGAGCGAGAGAAGAAGGCGGCCCACCGGGCAGATGCTAGACTGTTGCCGCCGCCAGGGAGGCAGATAAAGCGCAGGGGAGGGCTACTACTCTCTCCCGGGGCGGGAAGCAGCTCCAAGGTCGGGGCTTGAGGTAGCTCCTTTTCCTCCTGCTGTCGCCCGGTTATCGTGAGGACAGCGGCCTCCCCAGCCTCTGGAAGGCGCGGAAGCGACCAATGCCGGACCGGATTGCTGCTCGGCTCCCTCCTGACTGCCCTTGAGGTGCTTGTTTGGCCGGGTTGGTGGCTCCGAGGCTGCCTCGCTCTTCGGGCTTTCCGATTGTCGGCAGGCCTGCTCGGTGTTGGGACGGAGGAAACACTTCGTTTCTTCTGAGCTGGAGAGAGTGCGGGGCGGGGATGGTGGTGGAAGAGAGCTCGGTCTCTTCAGCGCGTTTCCACGATCGGAATCCACGCTTGTCTGGAATCCCGGTTAGATGGCGGGCGGTCTCTTGGGGATGGCGCTAACTTCGGGTATGAGGGAAAAGGCGCGCGCAGCGAGTGTTTATAAACCCAGTTGGATCTCAAGCCAACTTAGCCGTTGCTTGGGAGGATATGCCCTCTTTATTTCTGAGAAACTTAACTCTTATAAACATTTAGTACTGCATGCTTGAGAATGGGGTGTTCACGTATCAGAGGTTGGGCTTCCTCCACCACTTACTTTCTGGAAAAATTGACCTGTGGTGCTTTTTTTTATTTTATTTTAAAGGTGGCTTATCAGACAGTGTAGAAGATAAACATGGCTGGACCTGGTTACTATTTGGATGAGTTTACCTCCAGGAAGTGAATCATACAACTCTTAGTCTCCCCAAGCTGGAAGCAGCAAGATCCTATTTCTAAGATCACTGCATCATTGTATCCATGGAGTTATATCGGGAGTCAGCCTTGACTCTAGGATACTGTTTACTTTTTATAGATCTGATTTTCATGTAATGTGAATGGAATGGAATTTGGGAATTCTCAATTTGGTGTAGGTATGAACACTCGGACTGTACACTCATGGAAAAAGACGCCGTGTGGTTTTGGAGATAGGCTTGTATATGAAGCATTAAACTAAGAAGCCGCATTGTGGTTTGCTTAACATTAGCTAACCATGAAATAGGCCCCCGTTATGTCCCAATATAGGCAATCCTTTAACTGGAAAGTTGCAGGTCAGTTTTTGGTTTAGCGTTAAGAATATCTATGCGTGCAAAAATTTGGATCGCCATGAGTAGGCAGTAATGAAAGATAGAGTACTGTAAGTCTTTGCTACTGTTGGTTGTCTCAACCTCTATAGCCCAAATATCCTTAAGAACATGCAGTAGTTTCCACCTTTAATCTCTGAATGTCTGTGGAGATTCTCAGTCATCCATTTGGGACTTTAATCTCTGGTTTATCTTTTTTTTTTTTGTAATTAGCTAATTATGGGAAGGAGTTGTACCTGAAACTTTGGAACCCCTTTGATAAAGGAGGCTAGAATAAACAAATAATCTGAACAAGGCAGTTTTCTGTGAAGTTAGGGCAAACTTTCCCTATTTGGTCCCCCCTCCCCCAAAACAATGGACTTTGGCTAGCAAAATTCTCTAGTTTAGGTATGCTTACTTGGAATCAGGAGCTGGGAATTACATTCAACACATTGCAGAAAATGTTCAAGATGGTGGAAACTGCCTAAACTATAGTTTAGACTAGGGTTGGGCAATTAATTTTCCCAAGGGACCACATGAGAAATTGGAATTTTGTGGAGGGCCAAACCAATATTTTTTTTTCCTCCCATATTTTGGTGATTCTTCCCAGTAGCTGCCATTTCATTTTGTCTAATGGCCATGTCATCCCTATGCGCCGTACTCCTTGCTTAAAATGTTGAAGCTGTGTTTTGGAGGGAAGGGTGTTGTTGTTGAATTTAAATACAAGTTGGAACTTCAGTGGCTGATATCTAACTTGTTTTTCCATAACAGGCCTATTCACCAAAGGAGCATGTAAATTCAAGGTGCTTCCTTAATCCCCAACTGAACAAGCAGGATGCCAGAACAAAGTAATGATTACCGAGTGGTTGTGTTCGGAGCTGCTGGTGTTGGTAAGAGTTCTTTAGTACTCCGTTTCATACAGGGGACCTTCCGGGAGACATACATCCCCACTGTTGAAGATACGTATCGCCAGGTGATCAGCTGTGACAAAAACATCTGCACCCTTCAGATCACCGACACCACCGGAAGCCACCAGTTCCCTGCCATGCAGAGGCTCTCCATCTCAAAAGGCCATGCATTCATGTTAGTATACTCTGTGACCAGCAGGCAATCCATAGAAGAGCTCCAACCAATCTATGAGGAGATCTGTCAGATTAAAGGAGAGGTTCAGAAAGTCCCAATTATACTGGTAGGAAACAAGAGCGATGGCCCTCAAAGAGAAGTGGGCACCAGTGAAGGGGAAGTCCTCGCCACAAAATGGAAGTGCTCCTTCATGGAGACCTCGGCCAAAATGAACTACAACGTGCAGGAGCTTTTTGAAGAGCTCCTTAATTTGGAAAAGAGAAGAAATGTAAGCCTGCAGGTGGGTGGCAAGAAATCAAAGCAGCAGCGAAAGAAGGATAAGCTAAGAAGCAAATGTTCTGTGATGTGACACCTACTGCGTGGCTAAAATAAGAGCATAGTCTTGATCTTGCAGGACATCTATTCAGAGAAAATTCTGATGATTGAGATTTTCAGAGGTGAAATAAGATGTTAGTGTTAAATGTGGATTGGATTGTTTGAATATTTACTTAAGGGCAGTTGGATTTTGCATGTTCCATTTTGCACAAGCATCAACTATGCTCACCTCAACCAGTTGATACTGTTCTGTGGTCAAGTGCATGATAAAAATGGAATAAATAATTTTAAGCCTGCAATGTGCTAATGCATTTTTATATTTTCTTCAATGTGCAACATATTTTCTCTTTTACAAATACTAAGGTGAATTAGCAAATCACAACAGGATTCTACTGAGTAAACCAGTACAATTAGACAGTACTGCAGCCAATGCTTGCATATACTTGGAGCAAAAATAAATGCTTACAGATAGAACTTAACTAGTTCTCTGACTGCTGTAGATTATTTATATTATTTATGATGGTCCTTCAAATATGTATATTTATAGGAAAGAAACTTTGTTCTTAAGTGTTCCAC